CGTACGGTGTCGAATAATTTGGTGTCGAATAAATCTGTGTCGAATCGAGCGGTGTCGAATCGTACTGTGGTCAAACGGAACCCGCCCCAAATAATATATATAGATCCGCAATAACCGCTTTATGAAAGGTATTGAAAGTAGAAGATCCTATGAAGTCTCTTCCTGCAGACNCTCGAACGCTCTTAAAAACACCCAGAATGTCGGAAACTATTCCAATGGAACATGGACGATATATACATTTTGGTATTGCGAAAGGTGTACATCACGTTATTGAAACAAGCGGCATCATTGCATGCATACCTGAAGAAATTCATCTATCGTTCAATATAGACGGATTACCGCTTACCAAAAGTTCCAAGAGCCAATTATGGACCATTCTGGGAAGTTTCAGAAATTTTAAGAACAAAATACCATTCATCATTGGAGCTTTTCACGGGTATAAAAAACCCCCAGCTGATGCAAAAGTATTTTTAAAGTACTTCGTTGAGGAAGCTGAGAGCCTTATAGAGAATGGCTATACCTNGAAAGGTATTAACAGTAAATTTATTATTGATTGTTTCATATGCGATGCTCCTGCAAGAGCATACATTTCCTGCATCAAAAGCCATGGGGGATATTATGCATGCGGTAAATGTGAAACCAAAGGCAAGTACTTGGGAAAAGTAGTATATCCAGAAATGGACGCTCTGTTACGAACGGCAGAATCATTTGCAACTCAGTCGCAACCAGAACATCATATTGGAATAAGTCCTTTGAAAAAGCTCAATATTGATATGGTTTCACAAATGCCTTATGACTATATGCATTCAGTGGCATTAGGCCACATAAAAAGAATACTAAAAATAATGACTGGAAAGTTGAATCCGATGAAGTTAGGTGCACAGCAGGTTTCGGATATTTCCGAACGACAGCTTGAACTTCGACAACATATTCCGTTTGACTTTGTCCGTAAACCACGAGCTTTGGACGAACTCGATCGTATGAAAGCAACTGAACACCGTGAACATTTGTTTTATACTGGACCCGTTGTATTGCGCAAGATTGTAAAAGATCTGACATATATAATCATTTTATAAAATTATCTGTAGCGATGCGTCTTCTAGCAACTCCTGGTATTGACTTCGAGCAAAATAAATATGCAAAAGGCTTGCTACAAGAATATTTTGTTGAATTCCTACAATTATATGGAGAGGAAAATGCTACATACAACACGCATGGATTGCTACACTTAGCGGACGATGCATTAAAGTGGGGAGCACTGGATGAGTTTTCTGCATTTACTTTCGAAAACTATCTACAGCATATAAAGAAATTAGTCAGAGGCAANGATAAACCTCTTGAGCAATTAAGTAATCGGATATATGAAATTAGAAATAGCCACTGTGTTGAATCTTTCACTGATTTTATTAGCACGTATAAACTAGGGAAAAAATGCTATAATGGAACGGTGACTGGAGAATGTACGTCACCTATGCACAAGGACATACAGTTCAAGAATTTTAAAATTACGACAAAAAAACCAAACAACTAAGTAGTTAAGATAGGGGGGTTTCGGTTCAGGGTGCTCCGAGAGGGGGTGAGAGGGACAGGGGGTAACCGCGGGGAGGGGAGTGGTTAATCGCGCGAGGGAGGTGGAGGGGGAAGGAGGACTCAATGTAAGCATTTCTGTGAAAAACCGCAAGGGGAGGGGGAAGGAGGTGTTACTGGAAACATATTCGTAATAATGAGAGCAGGACCTGGGCGTTGCGGATGAGATAACGTAGAAGTGTGGGTGGTGTCGGCGGAGCGTTGTTATCGGCCCTACCGGAATGAGCCAATTACCGACGAGCCGTAAAAATGGAGATTGCAATATTCGACGCGAGTTATATTTATTTAAGGTAGTGGGTACGCCAATGGTTGTAACGTGTTTGAACGTGTTCGTGCGTGTTCAAGGTCGTTCGGTTGATGACGTCATCGCCAAAATAATAGCACCTCTCAATTATTATTGCAAATTGCGCAGTAAAATAAATAAATTCCGAGAAAAATTGCAAGAACGACGATGACGTCATCGCTAAAAATAGAACTCGAGCAGGTTTGAACGCGTTCAAGGTCGTTCGGAATGATGACGTCATCGCGAAAATTGAAATTGCGCAGTAAAACAAATACTTTCGAGAAAAACCGCAAAGTTCCCAGAAGCGGTTCGCGTTTAGAAATAAACAGCGCGCAGTTTGTAATTGCGCAGCAAATGAATAAGAAATTTCGAGAAATACCGCAATTTCCCGGAAACAAATAATTCCGAGAAAAACCGCGAATTTCCCGGAAGCGGTCCGCGTTTAAAAATAAATAGCGCGCAATTGCGCGAGCAAATAAATAAAAAATCCCAAGAAAAACCGCAAAGTTCCCGGAAGTGAGCCCTTTCTTATCGCCGAAGCCATCAGCCGCTTCCGGTTTGATGACGCACTTCCCGCGATAACTTCCGCGTGAAAAAACCGTTACGTACCGGGGATGTGGTGTTTGTAAAACGCAATTTCAAACTGAAAGATTGTGAGGAAAGATAAAGAGTGAAAATAAAAGCGAACAAGTAAGGGTGGTACTCTATTGACCACAGTACGATTCGACACCGCTCGATTCGACACAGATTTATTCGACACCAAATTATTCGACACCGTACGATTCG